ATGTGTACAACGAAACTGAACTTATGAACTTTAGAATCCCTGGCTTTTCGATTAAGCTAGTGCAGAGATTTTAGGTGTTGGATTACTGGTCCATGAGAACCACACAAATGAAAGTTTTATTTTTATTATGGGAAGGTTAAAAGAAACCTGCTGTGACTTTGCAAAATGCACACATTATAAATGAAAAACTGACTTTATTAGTTTCTGTGGTTTTCGTAAATAAACTTAGTCATATTTGTTGCCGCTACTGTTCTACTGTACGCACGTTATTTCCGTATATTATTTACTGTATACATTCATAATGATATATGTATCATTTAGTAGGTATAGTTTGTTCTTTTTCTGCAGAAAGTCCATCTGAGGTAAACTTGTCATATACAGTCTTTTCTCCCGGTTGTTACTGGATAAACTACTTGCGTTACTTTACTTTCTATAAGTAGCAGCCTTTTTGTACTGTTTTTTTCCATAATGCATAATTTGTTTCCGAGTCTGAAAGATGAGCTTTTCTTGCGTTACTTAAGTCACGTTGTCCTCCAGTACTAATAGCACACGTTTTAGTGCGCGGCATGCAACTGTCGTTTGGGCGAGGTCGGTTCGACGCTGTTCCTCAAGAAAGACCTTATTCTGTGCAAAACGGACTACCTACGTATTTTTGGTGTCAAGGGAAGATGTGCGGCTTGTGGCAAAGACATTCCGGCATGCGAGATGGTGATGCGTGCCAGCAACAACGTCTACCACTTGGAGTGTTTCGGCTGCCAGGACTGCCACTGCCGGTTCTGTGTCGGCGAGCGCTTCTACCTCGACCTGGACAACAACAAGATCCTGTGCGAGGACGACTACAAGGAGCGGCTGCTGTTCGCCCAAATGGCCACATACCCATACGGTAGCTGGGACCAACTGAAACGGGAGATCAGCCAGAAGCTGGAGGACATGGACGAAGTGGCAAAGGTATGCGACGACGACGGTCGTCATCCACGTTGCCTACCGTTCGCTTCTCGACCGAGTACTCGTAGTCCGTTTCAGGTGCAGAGCTTGCGCAGGTGACCGCCTCGTCGGTCAGTCGACGAAGACGATGATCATGGCGTTCCTGGCTAAACAGTGCATTTGCATCGCGATTGTTGCAGACGCCTGACAATCACCTATCACTCTTTCCCGTCCCCCGTCCCCCGTTCGCTGCCAGCCATGGTCGACGGAGCGGAGGCCGAGTGGTCAAAACAGTAGTTGGTCAGCGGTGTCCAGCTTGAAGCTCCGGTGGCGGCGGCCACTTGTGCAGCAGCGACAGCGGTCACTCGCCTTCCCTCCTTCGTTCTCTCTGTGTACCATAGATATACGTTACGTCGTTTGTCGGAAGCAGCTGGCCGACTGCGTGTTCGTAGTTTGTAGGCGGTTGTGAAACAGGCGATTAAAGTTTGTGTTGCCGTTACATGTCGTTGTGATAGTTGTTATTGCGCTAATTAATTGTTGAGTGACAGGCACCGTACAACGAGGGCGGTTTTTTGCCGGCAAGCCGCTTGAAATGGAATCGCCACTTACACTCAAATGAAAACGATCCCAAGGCGGGCCAGGCAATTATTTTAATGGAACGATCGCTTATAATTAGCCTCGTCGCGCATTTATATCGTTTTCATGCGTTGTTGATTCGATTAACGAGCCGTCGCCTTCCTTCCTCAGCTATGAAGCCTCCGTCGTGAACGTGGTCAGAGGAAATCGAGAAGACCGCGACAGCAACGATTTGCGACCGACTGCCATTCGCTGAATAACGAGCTTCGCACTTGAGGTCGATAGGCCCTGACTTCGAGCCTTAGTTGTCGCTCGCCTCACCTTCAGCCCTCTGAGGTTGATAAACAAGCACCATCTTGTAGGAAACAATGCACAAGGTTAAACGTTGTTTGCCACGTTATTTGTCTTTAAATATTCCTACTCCTGGCTGATAGCATGGAAATGCATGACAACGTCACACCACAAGCTACCTAAAATGAAAGGCGAACAAATGGTGCCCATCGTTCAAGTGTGAAGGGTGCCGACTCTCAACGATTAAAATTTGATGACGTCTCCGCGATTGTCCTCATTGTCCGAAACCAGATGATTGTGGAAACAAAAGAGGATCAAGTACTTCCTGCGGTCAGCAAATTTTGCTTTCTACCTTACATTCAAGGTTGAGTCGAAGTCGGTTCATCCCCATTACAGGCTCTAAAGTGTTGAACCTCAGGGAGTCTCGGTAATGAATACAATCTTAGTCAATAGCGTTCGCCATTTATTTATTAGAAGAATTAGCGGGAAATTAATTTCAGGATTTCCCTCTTGTTCCAGTGGCCTCGGTTACCTGTCAATGCAGTGACATGCACCACGATCTGAGATGATCAGTGTAACAAAGTCAACTCAACTGTTGCTCAAACTACCTCTTGGCCACCGTATCTGTGAATTTGCCACGAGAATCCGCCCTGCGAGAGCCTCCTGTAATATCTGGCCACCTTTCCAAACCGTAGGCATCATGACTCCTTAATCAGAAGATAGAAAGGCTCACATTCGCGTATATCTGGGATTGTGGTGCTAAGAATCTTTCGAGCATCGGTGCATCAACAATTAATTAATCGAAAGAACCTCCTATCTGTCACGTTAATGTCATCATTGATTCGCCGTTTGATCATCTTCCTTTTGCACAGTTACTTCCTCTGCACAATCATACTTGATGCTTATGCATTCATTATTAAAGATGGACACATCGATTCACGTTAATTCTCTTTGTAAAGGAGGCAAAACTGTTGAATCTCACGGCTCGGGTATGAAATTCATCTATATTGACAGAAACCTTAATACTTCGTCAAAACGGTTTACTGCTTTAGCAGCATGTTAGACTACACTGGTTACCATTTCAGCATCCACGTTACGTATTTGTGTAACAGTATAAAGAAGGTACCCCACAACCACGATAAATACGTAGTGGTAAGACAAAGAAGAAAAAACGTGTATAGAGAAAATGGAATGATGAACAGAACATTAACACGCTAATGAGTAATAGGTAAGCTTATAGGATAACATGACTGATATACGTCATTCGAAGGACTTATAGCGTAAGAAGGGTGCCATGCTGTTCTATAGTATGCCTAACGGTGACCAATGAAAGAAAATGCTACAATCCGAATCAATGCCGAATCTGTCTTGCAGTGCAGTGAATGGTCCATGTGCTTTTACACTGCACGTCGGCTTGGATATTTTTTGTATGCAAACTGTAGAATACATGTCATTCATAACGATCGTCATAGCCATGAGCATCAAACATCAAAATGGTTCATTTTGATCGTTGAATTCCCTTGCATATAGAAAGAATTGGTCAGTTGTGGTCGGATGTTGCTTTCGTTGCGTTGTGTTGTGTTCCTGTCAAAATGCCTGAACTGTGAAACGTCAAATTAACTGACAGCAAGCCATTATACACCCTTTCATGATAAAAAATATGAACGATACTTAAGTCATCCCTATTTCATAATGCTTTCATCAGTTTTCAACAATTGAGGTATTCAAGCATTTGCTCAAACTCATTTAACCTTACCTAACA